GAGGAAAAAAAGAATGCTCAGCCTGTGTGGTGACAATGAGAAATGGAGATGCATTTTTATGGGTACCTGGAAGGGATGAAAAGGAAAATTTGTTCACTTGTTTTCTCTTAGGTATCCTTATTTTCTTCTTCCCCTCAGGTTTTTGGAAGGGAATATAGACTTTGGCAGCAGGGCTGTCTCGGTGTCAGTTGAACTCCTCTCCCTCCAATGTTTTCATACAATGCCCACCCCTACACCCAAACCAACAAATTAAAAAAATATATATTTAATACATCAAGCTTCTATTTAAAAAATCTGGATAGATATTTTTGTCTAAATGAAAATAGTAAAGAGCTTATAAGAAAGCAGAATCACAGGTTGATTTTGTACAGTGTATGCAATGCTCTAATACTGGGGAAGCGCTGTTTGGGGAGCAGGAACAGATTTGACCTGTCCCTACACATAATACAGAGTCTTAATTTATTGGACATTTAACACAAACAGCATAAAGGAACGACTGAAGTGACCTTTTTGTTACAGTACAAACTGGTACTCAGATCCTACTACTGGGCCCAATCATGCTCCCACTGAAGGCACAAGGTGTGTTTTGCCATTTTTTTAATTTATTTTTTCCCCCCCAAGGAAGCAGGGTAGGACACATTTTTACAGGGAAGACACAACAGGCACTTCCAGCCTTGTGCTTAAAACCCTTGGGACACATGAGCAGCTTGGTGCTTGCGATCGGTGATCCAACACCTGGCCAACAGCGGCACAAATAATTTGAAGGAGCCAAGTCTCAAACCAGCTGCTCCTCCCAGGGAAGCTGCTCCTCGGGGCTCGGACGCAGAGACCGGCTGAGGGGAACCTGCCTCTGCACCCTCCTGGTTTTTGAAGCTGCTGCTGCAGCTGCAGCACAGGTGTTGTACCTCCAGTCCAATCCCTTCCTAGGGTTTAGTTATCTGAAGCCAATAAAGGTTGTTTTTTTGGATGCATGCTGAAATGAAGGAGGGCAGTGAAGCTGCGACTAGTAGGAAGGCAGTGGAAAGGAACGGGATTTTGTCATTGCCACCCCACAGCAGGGCTCCTCTCCAACCAGAAACTGAATTCACCCCAATTACTTCTCAGTCTGGACACCCAGATGCCCTTACATCATGCAGAGCAAACAACCCAAAACTAAAACCAGGAAGTAAATGAGGGTGTAAAGCAGAGCTGTAGAGTCAGCGCTGAGTTGGCCAAAACACAGGAACTAGGATCCAAGGTGGATTTAGTCATCTAGATCTAGACATCTGCAACATCACGTACCCAGCAGCAGCAACAACAAAACAACACTAAGTCAGGAACAACTTTATGCCAGGCTACTGAAAATAAGATGGAAAAACTTGCAGGAAGGGCTAAGAAACTAAACTCTTGCACTTAAAAGCCATTTGGAGATTCTGGACATTTTCAAAGTGGGTCATTGGAAGCCCACTGTGAAGAGCCCTGTCTGGAAGTACAGTGTTAACAGACCCATACTGAATGTGCCTGGCTATTTTGGTAATACTTTCACATAAAGTCTCCTAAATGAAATCAGTTATGTCAGAATGTTTGTTGTTAGAAGAAATTTAGTTTCTCAATAGTTTTGTTGTTTTGGGGAGGTAAAGGATAATAAAGTAGCTGGCCACCGCACAACACAGGGACCAGTGGGGCGAGTTAAGGAAGGAAGCCGTATTCGCATTTGTCAGAGTAAGGGGCAAACCCTCACCGCAGAGATCCGCCCCACCGTGAAGATGATTTTGCAGGAATGGTGGTATTCTCTCGGTGTGTGTCAGTAATTTAAAGCTACATTTAAGGTCTCCAAACTGAGCCAGGCATTTCAGAGTCAAGCCCTGCTTTATCACATGCTTTCCCACCACTACTTGCTGAAGATCCTGAAACTGGACCTTGAGCAGCACTGCTGGGATAAAGCAGGAGAGAAGTCAGCTTTCACCCCGCAGCTGTGATGGCTTCAGTCAGCAAACAGTACTAGCTTATTGAAGTTATTCACAAAAATCAGCTGCGCTCTGTCACACTTTGCAGGAAAGGATCTACTAAGCTAGAAGCCAGGTTTTACAATGGATCAGTTCAGTTGAGAACTACCATCTTTCTTTAGTAAATAAAGGTGAGTTGTTCTCTACAGATCCAGCCCACAAAACCTCCAAACACACCAGACCACCCCAAATAACACCTCCACTGGAGGAAAGAAATTTCTAACACGGCACCCTCAAAATCCCTGCTATCCCAAGCAAGACAAAGCTAAGAACAACCGTGACCTAAATGCAAGCATGAACTATGGAAAAGCTCAGGTATAGTTTGAGTTGGAACCACAATTAACGAAGCAGCGTAAGTTCTAGCTTGGATCCTAATGTTCGTTTTAACTTTCAATCTAGAAAAAATCCCTCATTGTACCGATACAGCCAACAGCGCTTTGGTACCACCTCAAAGACACATTAAAAAAATTGCCCAAGGAGGACTTGACAGCCACCAATGGGAGTGAACTGCTCTAATGTCTACTGCAGAACTCACTTTGTAAGGACTCAGCTTTCTGTAAGTAGACCAAATGCATTATTAAGTAATTACTCCTTGAAATAGCCAGACAAAAACATTTAACTAAGCATAGAAAAATTCAAGGTGTTGATTATTTGCACCACTAATACAGAAACAACTGTTTCCTTTCACAGGAAAGGGTACACATGGGTTGTTCATGAGAAGGTTCACACTGAAATCTCATGCTAGTTGGATTTAGAATTTTTGCTCGCCCCAATCAATAAAACTGCTGTACTTTAAATGCAAGTTTCTGTGCACAAAATACTCATTACTCACCTGACAGAAGCCACAATCCCAGCTACATGAAGGACTGGGGGACAAGTCTACAGTGTAGCTTCTTTCGCTGAGTTCTCAAAGGGAGCACAACTGAAGAACCCATAAAATCCATGCTTTGGAATTTAATGTTTCCTGCCCCTTTTCAATCTTGCTTTAAATTTAGAATTGCTGGGTTTTAAGAAAGCACTGAAATCAAAACATGTTATGTTCAACAGCTTTGCTCTGTGACAAAAAATATAATCCTAAATCCAATGTTTGGTTCTGCTGGTCAGGAATGAGACTGCTGTCCTTATTCTGAAAAGTGCCAACATAAAAACCTTACATGTATTTTCTTGTCCAGGCATGTTACAGTTTGGTTCTGCAAAAAGCAAATTTAACACATCAATAACAGGGAGGCAGATATGCACCAATTTCTTTCCTCAGCTTGGAAGCATCCTGAAAGCACCTATTAACGTTTGCAGTTGCTCACATTCTTTAGACCAGTGTCTGAAATTGTTTCTAAACTGCTTTGGGTACATCAGCTTTCTGCAGAGGCAGGCAGCTGACCGAGATAGAGGACGGGGAAGTCAACTCCTCATCCTTTTTGTACCAACTGAACGTCCAAACCAAGTGCAAGCAGCTGGAAGCTTTCATGGCACCACACCCCAGAGGTTTCTTCTTTGGCTGAAGTGCAGCATGTACAGCTTTCCCGAAAGAACCGGGAAAGGCTCTGGTGGAAAATACTGCCCGTGTTACCCGAAAGGACACAAACACGTACTCAAGTCTTACAGTGAGGGAAGGGTCGAATGATATCACAGATAAAAACGAAGCCAGCACTGGGAGATGTTACACTTACTCATCTTTACAGAAATAATTGCCGCAGGCCGGGAAAATGAGCAGTAATGAAAGCCTAGAAAGGTCAAGGGAAAAGTAACTCAAAGCAAATAAAAGAACACCACAAGGTATCCGGCTACATTTATTTCTGAAATTATTCTTTAAGGCACAAAACAAATCTAAAAAATAGGGCTGGATGTATGAGGTGAGGGGCAGAGAAAGTATTTGAGCTAGAGAGGTGTGAATGCAGTCTTTACAATCCAGTTTCACATCTGACCTGGGAATTCTCCCAGGGTGAGTGGGGGAGGATGGTGAAAGTAGAGGAGCATTCTTATTTAGCAGAGGTAGGAGGTAGTGGGGTGAGATTTTTTTTATTTTTTATTCCCCCTCCACTCTTTCGCCCCCCAAATTTACACACATATTGGCTCCCTGGCCAGACTCACAGTTCCCTTCCCTTCCCTCAGAGCTCGTTATAGTTTGTAAAATAAGACCAGACCGCTCAATCTTCCAGCACAAAAACAAGACCTTGAAATCACTCTTCCTAGCACAGCCTGCTCCTGGAGTGGTGGCGGGCAAGAGGCAGATCTGTTCTTGCCCTCAAGTTAGTGCCTTGATAGGTATTACCGACGTGTAGGTTTTGCTTCATATAAACTGTAATTTATTCTGTTCCCACTCTGAAGCAGAATCCCAGGCATCCAGGGTGCCCTTGGAAAACGGGTAGGTAGGTATCTAGGTGGAACAGCTGTCATGGAAGGGAAAAATGAAATTTTCAAACGGCCCAGGACTTGAGCTACCCAGAAAAACCAGGCTCTCTTGCTGCAGGTGAGACTTTGTTTTTCTTTTGGTTCTGAATGCATGTAGTGTATCACACAACTGTCTAAAATAATCCTGCAGAGAGTGGGTTTAAAAGTGAACTTCATGCATGGGATCAACCCCCCAAAACTGGGGTAATTCTTGGTGGTAGGCCAAGTTTAAAGGCTCCAAAGATCTCTAGTTTAACTGCTCTGGGAAGAGATCACATCTGTGGACTGGGGGTCACAGAAGGGTCCAAAACGTCCGTAGATGTCCTTAGCCCGGACCGCAAAGTAATATTTGCTGCCAGACACAAACTGTGTAAGAGTGCATGCCATAGGGAGCGGGAGGGCCTTCACTTCCCCGATCTTCTTCCACTGCGAGGGCATAGTGGCGCTCGGGTCCTCGTGGTAGGCATAGAGATGGTAACTGTCCACCGTGGCACAGCTCCGGTCCACCTCCATGACGCTCCACGACAGCACAATCCCGTTCTGGCTCTGTACCCGCGCCAGCTTCAGCTGCGGCTTTTGAGGCGGAGAAGTGTTGGCAGCTTCGGGGGGCAGACGTGGGGGCTGCGGTGCCTCCGGGAGCGGGGCGGGATGTACAGGGCGCGGTGGCTCCTAAGCAATGGAAGAGCAATAAGGCCAAGGTCAGAGTCTACAGCAGCGGAAAGAGGCTCGAATTCGTCGTTCCCCAGGCACGTAGAAGTGAATGAGCCTCCTGCAACCACTTGACCCGAGCCTGCAATCACCCACCCGGCACAACTTTTCAGTCGTGTTTGCAGAGAGCACGTGAGCGAGAGAGCAGCAGCCACGGCTGAGAAGGGGCAGGACAAGGATGACCCAAGTTGTTTTCTTTGCTAACAAATTTCTGGCTGTACAGATCACCACGGCCACAGTAACTCCCCCAAATCCTCTTTGCCTCCCACCCAAGAGGGGCCACCCCGAACACTGCCCTTTCCCAAGACTGAGCAGGCAGGTTCACAGTGACTTGGGAGCCACATTTGAGCTGCAGTTCCCACATTACCCAAAACACCCCAGGCTGTGCATTTTGCTGACAACCTGTCATCTTTTCAACAGGCAGGTTTTCAGTGACACAAGGAATAACGGGTGCCACATGGATTTCATCATTTTAGCTTAGTTACAAAAGCTCAGCCTCTGTTTCCAGAAAATTATGAAATACTGGCACAAATGTGGTTTTCCTCTGACTTTTTTTTTTTTTAGTGCCACAGAAACAGTCCTAGGTCTCTCATTTATACTAGTTAAGATTAATTTAGGAATATGGTTACAATGAGTATGAAATTTTGTTATTCTTCAAGCCGTGGGTCTTTCAGGTTGGAATCTGGGGTAGTTTTTGTCATCTTGGGTGTTCTGTGTGATACTGGTGTGGTTTATTCTCATTATTTATCACTGGAAAATACCTGAAGCTGAACGGTGTCAGAATGAATGGTGAGCCACCTTGCTGGTAACGCATTTACTGTTTCAGGACCTCACAAGTGACATGACTGCCCAACAGTGAGTGTGCATGCAATGTACTTGTTCAGTCTCAAGAACAAAACCAAATGAAATGAGTTCTCAAATACTTACAAAAAGGGGTCAGAGGTAACGCAGAATTAATCATCCCCAACAGCGATAAAAAACCCCTCTGAAATTTGGGAGTTGGCAACTTTGAGGATCGTGTCTATACCTTGTTCTCCTACCTCAGTTTTGCAAACAGCTGTACTGAGAAACTGGTCATCCAACTTGTACCCAAATCATGACTAAACTTTTTAGTGTCAGTTCCACTGCACCCTTGGCTCCACAGGTCACCCACAGACAATTCATGTGCTGTTTTCAACCTGTGCTACCGGCGACCTGGAGAACTCTGGGGTGAGCTAGCAGACCGCACAGCTTCTAACTTTCTTGGCAGAAGTTGCTGTAGGTGATGGGGTGGGGCTACACATGTGAACTGTCTACAAGGCATTTCACTATTCTGCAGTTCACATTAAGAAGTGAGTCTGAAAGACACTAATGCAAGAGACAAGCCCAGAAATTGCATGACAGTAACTTCCAGAGGACTACTCACAGCATGCACTTGTGGTGGTCGATGATGCACTGTGAGCTGAGGTGCTCCAGATCCAAGAGTCAGTCCGTTGTTCACAACATACGTAGTTGTTTGAGGCATTCGTACCGTCATACCTAGAAGAAGCACAATAAGTATTTTTGAGTATTCAATATTTAAGATCAGCTAAATGGAACACTGGAAGACCAACTCCTTGGATGCACCGAATTTCACAGCTGACATGCTCTCCTCAAACCACCAGCAGAATGATGAAGCGCTGCATAACAACAAAACCACTTCTCACCCCCTGAAGCTGTAAAAGTGAAAGAGACTGAGTGCTTAGGTCTGCAGAGGGGACAGAATGATGTTTTTTAATAATTTGTAGCATGAAAAAAATGGGTGGGGAGGAGAAGTGTAGGAGATATGGGGAGCTTAAGTATGGAAAGATAAATTACATCACTTTGGGATTCAGAAAGGAAAAGAGGAATGCTGCTGCAGCCAAATGATATCCACTCTGTACCCAAATGGCAGAAGGCTTTGCTGTGAATGGCACCAGAAACAAAAAGGTAAAGTCATAGAATCATAGAATATTAGGAATTGGAAGGGACCTCTAGAGATCA